GCGATGTAAAATCTGAAGAAGAAGCTTTGAAAACTCTTTGAACTTAGCAGTAAGTACTGTCAAGCATCCATTCAGTATAATGTTCTGGGGATGCTTTTCTTTTCATGGAACTGGTTTCTTAAAACCTATTGAAAAGACCCTCAGGAGTGAGCAGTACATGAGAATTTTAAGTCTTGTCTGCTCCCTTCTGCTGAAAGGGGTGCAATCGATCCCACCAAGCTCATTTTTATTTAAATTAATGCTAACCCCACAAATCAAAATTGATGAAGGAATACTTTGATCAGAAGCAGGTGAGTGTTATAACATGGTTGCCCCAATCTCCTGACCTCAAACTAATAGAAAACTTATGGAGCATTATAAAGTACAGGTTTTTAATATATAGTTGATATAACAAAGAGGATTTGATTGTGAATTTCATATCCAAATGGAATTCAATGCTTTTATAGATGAGATTTGCTAAAACCTAATCAAGTCAATGCCAAAAAAATATTGAAAAGTTTATTCAAAATAAAACAGGAACCATAGATTGTTAAATATTTCAAACTATATTAAAAGTTATATATAAATTTTAAAATCTATTATTCTTTATTTAAAGCTGTTCAGTTATCCTTTATTGATTACTAGTTGCTGGAAATTCATGAGTCTCAACTTTTTTTTGCACAAATTTTTTTATTTTGTCTCATTTATATCCAAATTTATAATATATGTTGGTGCTCTTTTCTCAATTTGAATTTTCCAATATCGCCATAAATTCTCGATTGGGTTCAAGTCTGTGGACTGAATTGGTCATTACAAGACATCAACCTTACTTTTTTAGTAACCATTTCCTTGTAGATCTAGCGGTATGCTTAGGATCATTATCCAGTTGGAAAACCCAATTAGGAGGTAGCCAAAGTCTCTCAACAGAACGCATTAAATTGTCTATCAGGATTTTCTGGTATATTTCGGCATTCATCTTGCCATCTATTATTGATATTCTGCCAACACCTTTTGCAGAAAAACAGCCCCAGATCATGATACTGCCACCACCAAACTTTACAGTTGGCATCATGTTCTTTGGTAAGTAGGCTTCACCGTCCTTCCGCCACACGTGATTTCGATAATTATGACCAAACAACTCTATTTTAGTTTCATCTGTCCATAGTACTTTTCCCAAAATGAATATTCTTTATCCTTATGCTCTCTAACGAATTTTAGCCTAGCATCTCAGTGTCGTTTCAAGAGGAGTGGAGTCTTCCTTGGGATGCGTGATTTCAGACTGTTTTGGGTAGTTCATTACTTATTGTACGCTTGGTTACTTTAATCCCTAATGCATGCAAATGTTCCTGCAGTCCTTCTCGGGTAACCTGTGGATTTTGTTGGATCTGGCGTCCCAATATCCTTGCTGATCTTAGAGAAATCTTCCTCGGAGCACTTGTTCGTCTTTGGTTTTCGACGCTGTTACGAGTTTTAAACCTTGCAATGAACGAAGCAATTGTAGTAAAAGGAATATTCAGGTTGTTAGAAATCGTTCTGTAACTGTTCCCATCTTTCCAAAGAGACAAAATGTGTTGTTTTTGTGAAATAGTCAATTCTTTACCTTTAGGCATTATTAGAAACTTCTCGTGCGACTAGAAATTGCAGAATAGCGTTAACTATAATTACTGATAAGATTACTGGAACATTCTAGAATATACTTTTTTCATAATTAATTGATTATTTTATTCTAATAATTGATTTGTACGAATACTTTTTTCACCAGTTAGAATTTAAAAAATGTATTAATTTCTGTTAGAATAAGGATTAATTGAGTTTATTATTATTTTTTAATAGTATGTGTCTTTATACATAAAATGTGCCGAGATTTGTTTTATTTAAGGCTTTTACATTTATAAAAATACAATTTTTCAAGTGTACGAATATTTATTTTCCCCCACTATATATATATATATATATATATATATATATATATATATTAAGCGTTTCACCCGAAGCAAGGCGGGAAGCCACTAGGACACAAGGGGTTACAGAAAATTTGGAGCAAAATCAGATAGGAGTGAGAGAAGAAAGGATGAGGAGAAGGGTAGTGGATAGATCAAGGCAACTGGAGATGTCGATTGACATTACATTTGAATAGCTCGAGATTATAGCTCTCAGGGAAACTAGAATAGGGAAGGGAGTTCCACAGGTGAGAGGTGCGAGACATGAAGCTATTGGAATAGAAGAGACGGCTACATTTAGGAGTTTCGACAGTGAAGGGATGAGAGCGGGATGCCAGCCTCTCTCTCTCTCTCACATATATATATATATATATATATATATATATATATATATTGTTATAGTTATCCACAGACAGACTATTTCGCTATTTCACAGTTTATCAGTGTGGCTAGACATCCGATTTTTTTCCTCTGTCTCTCTCTCTCTCTATATATATATTTTGAGTATTATGGCATCAAATGTTCTTTAAGGCAAATGTTATTAAAGACAACAGACATTTTGTTTCGATTAATTTTATTGATCAACTTTTCCAAATTACATTTAATCCTCTCAGATAAGGAGGAAATTCCGTCTGGAACATATATATATATATATATATATATATATATATATAAGGGTGCGATGGATAAATTATCATTTAAATTATGTAAAAATGATAATATTGACATCTCATTTTAATAGATACATTTTACAAAAATGACACAAAAATCTCTTGAAATATTACAGAGTAAATTTATTCAATAAACTCACCGTTGGCTTCTTGACTTTGGAATCTCCTGCAAACTTCTGAAGGGTCTCGTTGTGAAAGTTGGTGAATGCTTCCATAATGTTTGTCTTTAGATTATCTTTGGTGTTAGAATGAGTTTTGTCTCTTGCTCAACTGCGCCCTATACATAATAATCGAGGGGAGGTTGCAGTCTGGGGAGTTAGGTGGACAGATGTAAGGGGCGATATGGTCGCAGAAATTGTCGGACAGCCATAACTTGTTTCTTCGGCTTGTGTGGCATGGTGCAGAGTCCTGTTGCCAGACATAGGTTCTTCCATCAGCTACTCTCTTGGCTCAGGGCAATACTACCTCCTCAAGGCACTTGATGTAGGCTTCTGTGTTGACTGTTGAGACTCTGTGTTCAGCTGAATGGAGGCATAACATCGCCATCACTAGTGATCACTCCAAACACCATGATGTTGACTGGATATATCATTCAACTCTTTCCTAATCCTCTGCACATCCCTCAGATTAACACCCAAACACTCTGAAATATTCGTATTGGAGCTTTCGGTGCGAATGCAAAGCAGTACGGCATGCTTTTTCCAAATTTCTGGCGGGGTGAATTGCGTCATGAGGCTCTTTTTCTCACAGACGGTTCTCAACTGACTCTGCTATACTATAAGAAAAACAACGCGCATGCGCGAAATAAAAAATATGAAATGGCGCACCCTATGTATGTGTGTGTATGTATGTAATGAATACGAACAAATTTGAATATATACTTTCGAAATATTTACACAAATGAATTAGTAACCACATCTTTTTACAGACAGTTCTGTGGCTTTGAGTCTATGGCGTCAAATCGTAAGAAATATAAGTCGGCCAGAATATTTATCGTCTTAATGGATAAGACAGCCTATTATTTCTGGTGGAAGAATACAGATTTTCGTTTGTAATTATGCAGCCAGCCATCGAATGTTATCGCTTTATGTACGTGCATATTTAATCTTGTGTGTGATGGATGTACGTGTCTATTGGAACCACTCCTTTTCATATAATATCGAAGATTTTGTTTGGGATTACACTAAGTCAATGTTTTTACAATAACATTGGTATTGACCAAACGATATTGTTCAAAACTTCAAGATATATTTATATGACAAAAATAGAATATAAATTTAACTATCGTATTTTAAGGAATATTTACAATAACTTATTTAATGATGTACAGTTATATTATGCATCTCGAGATTCGCTAATCATATTGCATCTATATATATATATGCACGGGGTGCGCGTGTGAGCATATATATATATATATATATATATATATATATATATATATATATATATATGCGTGTAGAGAGAGAGAGAAATATATATATATCCATATATATATATATATATATATATATATATATATATGCAGCGATTATTTATCCAGACATTCAAACTGGTTAATTCAAAGATTAAGACCAGTCTGTTTACCTTTATTATATATTTCCAACGTTCGAATAAGATGGACCTTGACATCGTAATTTTTGAAAAAATTGTCTAAAGTTCATGTTTATCCTGTCGTTTTTTTCTTACGCATAATTTTGATCCAATGTACATCTTATCCGAACACAGGAAATATAAATTGAGAATTAAACAGACTGGTTATCGGTCGACTTAAATCGAAGTAGTGTGGATCCATACTCGCTACCTAAATATATTAGATCATTGCAAATTATTAATATAAAATGATCGCAAATTGACACAATTGTGTTTATTTTGGTGCCGATTTCTGGTGTGTTCTAGATTGAAAAATTGTATCGTTCAATTGCGATTAATTTATTTATTTATTTGTTTTCTACGGCATATCAAACATTTGCGGATTATTTAAATCCAGAAGACATTTTTAGATTGAAAGAATTTTACGGGGATATAATAATGATTTAGTGATAAAAGTGTTACTAATTAACTTATAGCTGGTGAGAGAAGAGATGGATTTAAAACTAGTGAAATGATACTTTTCAGTTTTATTCATAGGTTTTATTTTTTAATTATTTTCTATTTGATACAATATATATTTGCACATAACGAGTTTCTTTTTATTATATTAAATTTAAGTGTTAATGAATTATCATATATCATATTACTCTTCCGATAGGGAAAAGCAGTCAGTAAAAGTATTTCTTTTGTGAGCTTCTGTAAAAAATCTAACAGTTGCTAAAATGGTATTTGCGTGTAAGTGAATATAACGAACACAACTGCAGTTGGTACTCGGCTCTCCGATTAACAACTCCATTCACTACATGCATATCCAATCTTACAACACCTCATATTCCCAAGTGGTCACCCATTCAGGTACTAACCAAGCTCAACATTGCTTAACTTCGGTGATCTTACAGGAAACGGTGTTTCAATTGATTTGCGAGTCAGACTTTGTTGAATGTTGTTTTTTGTCTACAAACGAGTTCCTTAATATGGAGGATAAAACTTGCACTTTCGCGATTTTATGTTCTATGAATTTCGGAAAGGAGTAAGCGTTGAGACTGCAACAAAAACATTCGGAAGTTTTAATTGGATTGTGCTTCAGCTCTTCGAAACGGCCCAAAAAAATTGGTTTGTGTAACGAATTTCCGACTTCAATGAAGACGCTCTGCTTGCCATTGCAAAGAAAAGAGTTTGGAAATCGATATTTTAACTGCCTTTCGTCATTTGAAGAGACTTGGTTTTCTTTTTCAAGTTCGCCACGTGGGTGATACATCTGCTGACAGACAAGAACAATCTCGGTGCTGTTTCTGCAGAGGTTGTTTTGCTGCGACGCCACGAAAAGGGGTTATTCTTGAACAGAATTTTCACAGGCGATGAAAAATGGATCGTTTAGGATAACGTTCGACATAAACGAAGCTGGAAACAAGCGTGTGTATGTCCGAAGCCGTGGCTAAAGCGGCCATGCATACAACAAACTTGTTTCTGTCGATCTTGGTTCTCATTTATTTTTTTCCAGCCGCCGAAATAATAAATGCAAATAAGTATTGCGACCAACTCATCATGCGACTATTCAAATAAAAGCCATTTCCAACTTGACAATGCAAGATCACATGTTTTAAAACAAACCTTGCAGAAGCATAAAGAGTTGAGGTGGGAAGTCTACAGGCAGCCACCGTATTCTCCTGACTTCCAGTCTCTACAGAACAATTAAAATGACCAAAGAATTCATTCTGTACAGTAAGTCAACAACTACCTTACCATTTTCTTCCCCACAAAATGGCATACACAAGCTTGTAGAAGGATGGGTGACAATTGTTAAAAGCAATGAAGACTATTGACTAATAAATGGATTGCCTTTTTGTTTTGTTTTTCTTTTGTGAGTATGTAAAATTTCGTTTTGAATATATAGGTCATCAGCAATTTGAAATATATAACTTCACAAGAGGAACTACTTTGAAATTGTGAAAACTTAAGCAGAGATCAAATAATAATTATGATAATATTAATAATAAATATAATAAAAAGTTTAAACCAATTGGAAAACTTGGTGATTTACGAATAAGAAAAAAGGCCTTAAGTATATCACATAAAGACATTAAATGGGTAATAAACAAGAAAAGTGGATGAATCATAAAAATAAATATTTTAGAAATTGGGTGTTGTTAATGTAAAAAGAGAAAAATGCAGAATATTAAGAACATTGGTTAAATACATGGAAGTAATCATATAGACATCAAAAAGAGAGACGTGTAATTTGGGCACAGTGCATAGAATATAGAGCTACATTGGATGAACTGATGGTTAGCTTCAACCTTACATGAAAATAATCAGGACTGGGAAGGCAACACTAGGTAATTTGGATACTATTTGTTATGGGATCGTACCCATAGTAATAATAATGGACTATTTCATACTTAATAAATACTGCGACTCAGGAGTAGGCAATGAGTCAGTCGTTCACCTCTGAACTGACTGCACGGTTCAACTCTCTTCCGGACGGGCGAGGAACCCGAAGGAGGCTACGCCGAAGGGCGGAGTCTCCTTCGGGAGGGTAAAACTGGCCCTGAACCCGTTCATACGGGTTCAAATGGGCTATTTTTTGCCGAGCCTAATGGCTCGGGAATTCCCACGTTAAAAAGGCCTTGTGCCCACATGACACCCTCGTGGGGGGTGACTGAATATTGTCAGTCGTTCACCTCTGAACTGACTGCACGGTTCAACTCTCTTCCTACGGGCGAGAGGAACCCGAAGGAGGCTACGCCGAAGGCGGAGTCTCCTTCGGGGAAGGAAACTCAGGCCCAGAACCCGTTTATGCGGGTTCAAATGGAGCTATTTTTTGCCGGGCCTAATGGCTCGGGAATGCCCACGTTAAAAAGGCCTTGTGCCACATGACACCCTCGTGGGGGGTGACTGAATATTGTCAGTCGTTCACCTTTGAACTGACTGCACGGTTCAACTCTCTCTTCCTACGGGCGAGAGGAACCCGGGGAAGGAGAGGCTACGCCGAAGGGGTTCGGAGCCTCCTTCGAATGTTAAAAAAGGCCTTTGGCCCAGAACCCGTTTATACGGGTTCAAATGACTGTTCGGTTCAACTCTCTTTCCTACGGAGGAACCCGAGGAGGCTAATGGCTCGAGGAATGCCCCCATTAAAAAAATGGCCTTGTGCCAATGGCCCGCCCACGGGTTCAAAAGGCCTTTTTTGCCGGGCACCCTCGTGGGGGGTGACTGAATATTGTCAGTCGTTCACCTCTGAACTGACTGCAAGGGCGGTTCAACTCTCTTCCTACGGGCGGAGAGGAACCCGAAGGAAAAGGCTACGCCGAAGGGTGACTGAATCTCCTTCGGGAATTCGCTCCTACGGCCCTGGGCTACCCGTTCATGCGGGTTCAAATGGGCTATTTTTGGCCGAGCCTAATGGCTCGGGAATGCCCACGTTAAAAAGGCCTTGTGCCACATGACACCCTCGTGGGGGGTGACTGAATATTGTCAGTCGTTCACCTCTGAACTGACTGCACGGTTCAACTCTCTTCCTACGGGCGAGAGGAACCCGAAGGAGGCTACGCCGAAGGGCGGAGTCTCCTTCGGGAGGATAAAACCGGCCCTGGACCCGTTCATGCGGGTTCAAATGGGCTATTTTTTGGCCGGGCCTAATGGCTCGGGAATGCCCGTTAAAAAGGCCTTGTGCCCACATGACACCCTCGTGGGGGGTGACTGAATATTGTCAGTCGTTCACCTCTGAACTGACTGCACGGTTCAACTCTCTTCCTACGGGCGAGAGGAACCCGAAGGAGGCTACGCCGAAGGGCGGAGTCTCCTTCGGGGAGGTAAAAACCGGCCCTGGACCCGTTCATGCGGGTTCAAATGGGCTGTTACAGCCGAGCCTAATGGCTCCAGGAATTCCCACGTTAAAAAGGCCTTGTGCCACATGACACCCTCGTGGGGGTGACTGAATATTGCCAGTCGTTCACTTTTGAACGACTGTTCGGTTCAACTCTCTTCCTACGGGCGGGAGGAACCCGAAGGAGGCTACGCCGAAGGGCGGAGTCTCCCTTCGGGAGGTAAAACTCGGCCCAGAACCCGTTTATACAGGTTCAAATGGGCTATTTTTGGCCGAGCCTAATGGCTCGGGAATGCCCACGTTAAAAGGCCTTGTGCCACATGACACCCTCGTGGGGGTGACTGAATATTGCCAGTCGTTCACCTCTGAACTGACTGTTCGGGTTCAACTCTCTTCCTACGGGCGGGAGGAACCCGAAGGAGGCTACGCCGAAGGGCGGAGTCTCCTTCGGGAGGTAAAACCGGCCCAGAACCCGTTTATACAGGTTCAAATGGGCTATTTTTTGCCGGCCTAAGGGCTCAGGAATGCCCACGTTAAAAAGGCCTTGTGCCACATGACACCCTCGTGGGGGGTGACTGAATATTGCCAGTCGTTCACCTCTGAACTGACTGTTCGGTTCAACTCTCTTCCTACGGGCGGAGAGGAACCCGAAGGAGGCTACGCCGAAGGGCGGAGTCTCCTTCGGGAGGTTCGGGCCCAGAACCCGTTTATACGGGTTCAAATACGGGCTATTTTTTTGCCGAGCCTAATGGCTCAGGAAATGCCCACGTTAAAAGGCCTTGTGCCGCATGACACCCTCGTGGGGGTGACTGAATATTGTCAGTCGTTCACTTTCTGAACGACTGTTCAGTTCAACTCTCTTCCTACGGGCGAGAGGAACCCGAAGGAGGCTACGCCGAAGGGCGGAGTCTCCTTCGAGGGGTAAAACTCGGCCCAGAACCCGTTTATACGGGTTCAAATGGCCAATTTTTTTTGGCCGAGCCTAATGGCTCCCGGGAATGCCCACGTTAAAAAGGCCTTGTGCCACATGACACCCTCGTGGGGGGTGACTGAATATTGTCAGTCGTTCACTTTCTGAACGACTGCAAGGTTTTCAACTCTCTTCCTACGGGCGAGAGGAACCCGAAGGAGGCTACGCCGAAGGGCGGAGTCTCCTTCGGGAGGTTAAATCGGCCCAGAACCCGTTTATACGGGTTCAAATGGGCTATTTTTTGGCGAGCCTAATGGCTCGGGAATGCCCACGTTAAAAGGCCTTGTGCCACATGACACCCTCGTGGGGGTGACTGAATATTGTCAGTCGTTCACTTTCTGAGCGACTGTTCAGTTCAACTCTCTTCCTACGGGCGAGAGGAACCCGAAGGAGGCTACGCCGAAGGGCGGAGTCTCCTTCGGGGAGGTAAAAATGGCCCAGAAACCCGTTTATACGGGTTCAAATGGGCTATTTTTGGCCGAGCCTAATGGCTCGGGAATGCCCACGTTAAAAAGGCCTTGTGCCACATGACACCCTCGTGGGGGGTGACTGAATATTGCCAGTCGTTCACTTTTGAACGACTGTTCGGTTCAACTCTTCCCTAGGTAAACTGGCGGAGGAACCCGAAGGAGCCCACGCTACGCCGAAGAGCGGAGTCTCCTTCGGGGGGAGGAAAAAAGGCTCAGCCTGAACCCGTTTATACGGGTTCAAATGGGCTGTTATTTTTGGCCGGAGCCTAATGGCTCGGGAATGCCCACATTAAAAAGGCCTTGTGCCACATGACACCCCTCGTGGGGGTGACTGAATATTGTCAGTCGTTCACCTCTGAACTGACTGTTCGGTTCAACTCTCTTCCTACGGGCGAGAGGAACCTGAAGGAGGCTACGCCGAAGGGTGGAGTCTCCTTCGGGGAGGTAAACTCGCCCTGAACCCGTTTATACGGGTTCAAATGGGCTATTTTTGGCCGAGCCTAATGGCTCAAATGCCCACGTTAAAAAGGCCTTGTGCCATGACACCCTCGTGGGGTGACTGAATATTATCAGTCGTTCACCTTTGAACTGACTGTTTGGTTCAACTCTTCCTACGGGCGAGAGGAACCCGAAGGAGGCTACGCCGAAGGG